CCCACGGTGGACTCGTGGCCAGCCCGCCCGGCCAGGGCACCCTCAATCCCACAGCACCCTGGGTCTGCACCTTCCCTGCAGTCAGTCCCGACACCGGCACAGCATCCTCCAGCACTCGCCCCCCATATTTCCCATGGTCCCATCCTGCTGGTGCATGTTTCAGCATAAAGGCCTGATCCTGGTTCTGCTGAAGCCACAGGGAAGCGGAGTAATTCAGCCCTGGGAGGGACGTCCCGATGCAGGGAGCACCCTGGGGTCCAGCCCTTTCCCCGTGGGCACCCCTCACCGTGCAGCGTGCGCCATGGTGCCAGCCCCTGTGCTCTGCTGCCCGTCCTGCAGGAATGGAGCAGGCAGGACAACACGAGGCTCAGCCTTTCCTCCACCATGGGCTTCCTGAAGGTCCCTGGCCAACCCCTCATCCCAGAGTAGCATTTTTGGCACAAAATCCACGTTCATGGCTTCTCCCAAGGGACACCTTCTCCTGTGTGTCCCCGCTCCAGCTCTGGCTCATCCAATCTGGACCTCTGTGCGTATGGATAACCAAAGCCCCAACGCTGTCCTGCTGCACCCCTCTCCCAGCAAAGAGACATCACTCCCACCTTCCCAATGGGGAAACTGAGGCACAATCACAGGCCCTCTATGAGCAGCAGCGCAGGTGGGATTTTGACCCATTCCCAGCCCTTCTGTACAGACTCCAACCATTCAAACACATCTCTCCGACTTTGTCTTTTCCGAAAGGATTTTTTTTTTCTTTTTTTTTTTTCCATTGGGAACATCAGAAACCATCTCCTATCTCCTCTTATTCCTGCTCCAGGCCAGATTCCAGCCGAGGGATCGGTCAGTGGAAAGAATGTCAGCAAAGAGCAGGGCCAACCCTGAGGGATTTTCCTTCCCCAAATCCCCCCTCCCCGGAGAGGCCGTGCTGCGGCACATTCCCTGCGCCCACTGCCAGCACCTTTGTTCACTTTGGGTTAATTTCTAGCCTTTTTGGAACCCACCACAATGCTCTTCTCCTTTTGCAGTAATTTCTTTGGGGCTAGGAGCTTTACAATGCATCCTCACCCTCATTCCAGCTCTTGTGGGTTCTCAGTCCTGAGGATTTGCTCTCCCCATGGTTTTAGCATCTATAAAAAAATCTGCAGTAAGGAAAGCAGGACCCACAGCCTCGAGGTTCACAGTCCCTGCACTCCCCAGGGTCAATCAATCTCCTGAAATACTCAAAAAGGAAAAAAAAATCAGAGCACCAGATTGTGCCCTGAGTTGGGTGAGAGCACCAAAGCAGTTAGGAAGAGGCAGGATTCGTCCCTGAGAGTGTGCAGAAGAGCCAGTGGCAGGCACAAAGCTGTTACAGAGGGATGACTCAAACCCAAGGGCTTTACATCAACTTCACATCATCACATCAAGCAGTTTGACTTGTTTGTGGGGACCTTATCGGTGTCACTTGCTGGTGGACATGACCCTGGTGAGCCCCTCAAGCTGCAGCCAGGTCCCTGGACAAGGGATGCTTACGGGAATTGCCCTGGCTCTACTGTATAAATGGGGTTTTTTTTAATTGCAAGAGTGTGTTTGGAGGATGAGGAACCCAGCGGTGACATAACTGGCTCCGCGGGGCACGTGGCAGACCCGTACAAGAGAGCAGCCAAGCATTTAGCACTTCATAAAACAGGGGCAGCATCAGCAGAGCAGGCGCTGGCCACCGTGGTGGCCTTTCCTGGGCCAGAAGTGGGTCGAGCCAGCCCTGATGGGCCACCGAGGCCACCATGTGTCCGTGGCTGAGTGGGAGGAAAGGGCAGCCAGTGCCAGAGCGGGATGGGGACTAGGGAAGAAGGACCCCGCACTGGGGTGGCAGCCCCAGCACCCGCGTTTGCTCCCGTTCCTTTTGGGGGAGGGGGTCTCATCCAGGCTGCCCACGCTGCTGCTGGCACAGGGAGCTGGGATGACGCTGTGCTCACCCAGCCGTGGCTCTGCTCCTCCATCAGACCCTCTACACCAAGGGGGACCCTGATCCTGGACACGGCGGGGGGGATGCAGTGAGGTCTGGGGTCCATGGGTCCAGCGGATATCAAATCAGGGATAATGATTACCACTGGGCAAGTAGCCATCACCAGGGGACCCCAGCATCTGGGCTACCAGCGAGGCTCCTGCCATAGCCCACACCACCCCGAGCACCCCACAAAGACAACTGCTGGGGGACGGGCAAGCAGGGCGGCTTTTCCTGGGTCCCATGGGTGCCCACGGCGGCTGCAGGCTGCACCCCGGGTAATTCGGAGCTGGCGGGGGATTAGGGCTCTGCTGCCGGCTGTCAGGTTAGCCCGTGATGGATGGTGGCGGCTGGGAGGCACACAAAGGAGACGCTGTGTGAGCCCCGGGCAGAACGTGCTGCG